TTACAATTGCATATGTTTGATGTTTCGGCATTTGTAACGCAATAGAAAGAATTATTCGTCAACAGTGCGAGGGTAATGGATTTTGATTGAAATCGCCGTAACTATTTACGTACTGCTATTTAAATTTGTCCATTGCAGGATATTAATATTTTCAATCGTGATTCACCGTACTTCACCGCAAAATTTGGTTGCCTAGTGATTGTTTATGTAGTCACAGTAGTCGTAAAAATAGTACTAAGCAACATGTTTATTCGAAACAAAGTCGACCATAAAAGTCGAAATTTCGTGATGAATAAAAAAATATCCAAACCGCATTGATTTATTAAGAAAGTTTGGTTCAGTGCAAACCATAAAATTTTGTCATGTACATAAAAAATGGAATCTCTAACACTTTCAAGGCAAAGAACGCAAAGGCACCTTCACGTAGAACTATAAAAACAAAATAAAGAGGGTTCGAGCATTTTATTATTGTGTGATATCGTAAATAAGACACCCCCACATGCATTCTGTACAATTAATTTCGTTTCATTTCTGTTCTATAATCGTACCAATGTGCGAACAGTATTATTAAAAAGGCGCACTTGAATTTCCTTTAACATTACGCCGCCGAACGCATTTATTCCATCAGTGAACGCAGCCAAATGGAAACCGCCTCTGAACAACTCATCTTTGTGTTCAAACCTAATTACAGAACTTTGATAAAAATACGAAAAAAGTTTATATTGCAACGCATTGTGCAATATTAAAATTCCTCGTAAAAACCAACCTACCACGAAGTAAATTAATGGAAGGATATATACGCGGAAAATATTGTTAAATCGATATTAGATTTCCCTGAAAATGAATAACGATGAAAGTGAGCTTCGTGGTAAGTGTGCGCGATTTCAAGGTAATGGAAACGCAGTTTTCATCCCCACGTTACAGTTACAACAGAGCTTTTCGATTATACGTGAACTGTTCACATTGCAACTTTCTTCAAAATTTGCTAAACGTAACTGTGCAATAACAAATATCCTTGTTAGAAGATAGCATTGTACCTTAACGATATATCCCAGGACGACAATTTTTTATTCTTTATTAGACCGATAACATTTTATGCCAATTTTATTCTGCCATAATGGACTATTCAAATTTTACCTCGTTTGTCCTGCGACGAAATAAAGGAATTGTAATGTCGACAATTTGTTACCTACATTTCCTACTATTCAGTTTATTGAATACAGACACTAAGGAGGAACAAGGAAAATTGTTCTCGAATTTTCCACCGAGAGAGAAAAATAGTGATTAATTAAATGTTTTCATTTTCGTAATACTGTGGACAGAAGCTATTCTAGCACACAATAAATCTGAAAAATTGCACATTTTTCCTTTGTTTAGCCCGACGCGACGTAACTGGTAATAAACTGATATTATTCAAAGCAGGGCCTACGGTATTATATTTTCTTGGGAAAATGAAAATAGATAATGAAGAGGAGATGTTTTTTATACTTTTGAAAACTGAATATGGTACAGTCGTAATCGATATTCTACATCTTGTTTTATACAGCTGTTACCTTGCAATGTGCAAAATAAGCCATATTTCCAATGGTAGATTCAACATTTGGTACACAATTGCACTAATTTCAATTAATTACCTCTTTTTTTATTAACACATACTCGCAAATTTAATTTAAGTTTGGCTCAGCTAATAGTTTTCCTACAGTGTTTCACTTCAATTAATGTGTCGAATTATATGTATTTTTTAATAGTTACAATGTTGTACATGATTAAAAATTAGTTAAATGGTAAATGAGTGCACTAATTACATCTCAACACAAATCTTAAATGTTTGTACCCAATTGCAGATGGAAATTAGATATTTCAGATAATGTACAGGGTGGTTCAAATTCGTCGCTCTCACTATTGGAATGTCCGTAACGTTAGCGTTAGGGTTGCAAATCATAATGCTCACCTTAAGCAAACTTACACGGTTCTCGTCGTTTTGGCTTCCCGCTCGATTCCCGTCTCCTTTGGTAGTGTCTTCCTTGACCAAATTTTGCATAACTCTCTAGGTTCTACGTAGCCCAGTCCCGAGGTTGCGAAATGGTGTGCCATATTTACCCGTACGGGTGGGAGATATCCCGATAACTGTTGCAAAAATCTAGTATTTCGCGTGTCGAAATTCGTCAGAAAATGACAGGTTTTTTTGACAGTTAATTTTTATCGCATTTTTGAAAAAAAATACGCTATTATATTCGTTATGGCTGGCTGTCCGGATGAGATCTCAGCAATGACAATAGCTAGAGATTTTCACTAAAAGCCTTCTGATATAGTGTAACTTGATATGCAGGCTCAGTTTATTTTGAGTAAGATTACTCGCGAGATCGATCATTTTAAAGTTTGCTAATAAAATACTAATCTGTATTATCAAAAATGCGCTTTCGCCTATCCTGATTTACAACTTGTTTGTTATGTAATAGAAACATGTTTCAGAAATTGATATTAATGAAATAGACCACTACTTATTTCAAAATCTGTTACAAAATTCCTTCTATTGTAAACAAAATTCGATTGGTTTAAAAAGATGTTGTTTAGTTATTTTAGTACATTCTTAATACCTCCCAAATAATTACTACCATGGCACCATTCCCAACCAAATTAGTTGAACAGTTTAAACAAATAGAAACTAAAAATTCATTATTATAGTACGTGCAAATTCTTAAGATTTAAGTAATTTTATCGTACTAGTTTTATAACATAACTATTTCAATTTCCCTCGCAGTAAATTTCTAAAGCCAATTCGACGCTCGTCATAATTTCTATCAACGTAGCGTTACCAATATCTATGCCAAAGTTGTTCGCAACTTTGCTAATCTAGCTGCACACAAAGAAGGTCTTGATGCTGCTTTATTAACACATATAATTTCACTTTAAGCCACTGTCGGTTTGTTGGATGCCCTTTCATAGCAATGGAAAACCTGATTGCTTTGATATTTTAATTTCGTTATGAATGAATGTAACTAAAACAATTTAGGTGTAAGTTTTTCCCCCATCACTTTGAAATTCGTTACACGCATGTTTTAACATGCAAAATTTACACACGAGAAAACACTAACGTTAATTAGCGATATTGAAAATCAAATATCGGGTGAGCTTCTGTCGGAAATGGTTATTTCAAAAATTAATCAATCAAAATAATAATCATGCGGTAAATGGAATAAATTATATAACATCGAATAATATTGTTAGCTTAAATAATACAATGACCTATTCAAAGCAGACAATTTACGGCAAAAAGTGGCCATAACGCACCACTTGTGGTGTAATGAACAAAAACGCGTCTATGTGTAATCTAATTATGTGGATGATAATTTCGAACATCTGCAGTCATTAAAGTGCATTCACTATTTACATGTACAAGTTACCGCTTTCATAAATGAAGATCAATGTGACTCGAATTATGTTAGTTCGTTATGTTTGTATTTGGTCCAATCCTTATCATGGAGAAAAGTACAGTATCTTGCATCTTTTATAAAACAGAAGAAACAGTAAAAAAAAACAATGTCATGGTTTAAATAAAAGAATCTTTGTAACAAATTAAATTAACACATTTGGGAATTAAATGGCATTCTGGAACTGTAATTGAGAAGAGTTTTATGAAATATTTTTATGAAATTCTAAAGATTGAAGAAGATGCAGCGTTGCCATCAAATCAACATATTTCATATTTTCACAAAAATTGTTCAATTCAGATTGGGCAGAACCTGATAAAGAAAGAAAAAGTCAAAACAATATCTAAGTCAACTACCAGAAGGTTAAAAAAAATTCTAAGAAAAATGTAAGAACAATCTAAGATACCAAATCTTTTTAACATCAGAGGAGTTTATAAAACTATCAATGAATAGTCTCTGAAGAACTTTTAATCCAGTCAGAAGTTTAATCGAAAAAGTACGAATCGTTTTGGATTCTACGCACCAAAATTAATAAGAAAAAGTGTTTTCCCGAGAAATTTTGGTGCAGTCGATTTTTGGTAAAAAACGAAGTGTACACTTGCTTTTTTTGAGGCGGGAAAAAAAATTGTCTCAGATCGACCGGGAAAAAACATTTTCTTATAGAATGTGGCCTGTAGAATCCATAATTTCAAACAGTTCCAAGATTGGGCTACTAGTTCAAAAGTTACAGCCCTTTGAATTTTCTTTCGAAATTGGTTTCTAGTCTATAACTTTTGATTGAGAAGTTATCCAGTACACGAAAAATATAAAAATAGTTGCTTAAGATTCACTAAAAAAACACTGGAGAGTTTTATTTTTAAGTCCCAAGGATTTATCCTAGGTTGCTCTAGCAAAGCCACTTTTTGGGGCTTTTTTAGACCACGCTAATTGGTGGTACACCACTCAAAGGCATTTTTAAAGAGCTTTCCAATTATTTATTAGTCACATTATACTGTGTGGAATTTTTTATGAGGCGCAAACTTCGCTTATTTACTATTTTTCATATTTCACGTGGCACGACCGACCACTATTAACTTTCACTAGTACCTTTACTCTTCCACATTCAAATGTACCCGCTTAAGTTTGAAATTGTCTCATTAAACTAGTGAAGCATTATTAAGCACTTGCAGTTAAATCGAATAAAGAAATAACATTGAAGAACAATCACTGAGGATCTGTCACAACTTTAGATACACTAACTTTTCCAAAAAGCACTAACAACAACATGGCAAGTTGAGATCATCAATCTGATCACTTAAGACACATTTTTGGATTGCAAAAAAGTAGTCTAGTGAGATTCGATCTGTTGCCTTGTGAACGGATTTATAGATGAAGTGCAGAAAGACATGAAAGAGCAACTTTCAAGGCTGCACAAAAATTATAGATTCCTTAAAGAGGTTGCACTCATGAAACGAACCTGGTCGATTGGCTAAAGGTTGAAATGAAAATTTGACCGTTTATATACGAATTTAAAAAAAAATGCATCAAGTTTTACATATCAATTACGAAAGCTTTATTGTAAGTAACGGATTATATATTGTTAAAAATTATTATCTGCGGTTCGGGATGCTGCTTCTCAATCGCCTCCACAACATAATCGGGCAGCTTGTTACCTCCCAAGCGTACTTGACGTAGCTTGGGAAGATTGTTGAAGACGTCTGGATTCAAGTCGGAGATCTCGTTATGCATGAGATTAAGCGAATACATATTTATAAGACCTTGAAATATGTCGGAGTTGATGTGTTTCAAGGTGTTGTTGGATAAATCCAAAGTCAGGATAGACTTTAAGTCTCTGAACGTGCCCGATTTGACGTCGTCAATATCGTTGCCGACCACACTCAAAAATTTCAATTGAGGTCCGCTGGGTATAGAGCCTTTTTCCAGAGACTTCAGCTTGTTGAAATCCAGGGTGAGCGTCGTAAGTGACGTTAGCGTTTTGAAAATATCGGATGGAAAGATCTCGATTGAGTTGCGCGACAGGTCTAATTGGGTTAATTTTGTGATAGTAGTAAATTCGTCACCTTTGAATTTGTGAAGGTTATTTGAATCCAAGTACAAGTACCGTAAGTGTGGAAAGTGGTCAAAGATATCGGAGTCGATTGAGGAAATTTTGTTTTCGCTCAAGATTAGAAGGTCGACCTTGACTAGACCGGTGAACATATCAGCTTTGATTTCGGAGAGATGATTTTGATTTAATGATAGAGTTTCCAACTCTACAAGTCCCTCGAAGGCGCCCACTTCTATGTCCTTGATGTGGTTTTCCGTCAAATAGAGAGCTTTCAAATTGTCCATACCTGCGAAATTTCCTTTCTTCAGTAGGTTTAGCTTGGAGTTCCTAATTGTAAAACTTGACAAGTTTTTCAAATTAGAAAAGCAGTTAGATGGAAAGTTTTCAAGATGGACGCCTCCTATTGTCAAAGAATCTAAAGATGATAGATCCTGGAATGGATCACAATGAAAGCTCTTAATTGGATTATTTGAAATGGAAAAGTAAGTCAACGAGCTTAGTCCTTCAAACATCTTCGGGGAGAGAGTTTGCAGCTCATTGTTACTAATATGCAGTGATTCAACTTGCTTCAAGTTTTTAAAAGTGCCACTTTCGAAATTCTTAATCCGGTTACTGGCCAAGTCTAAACGTTTCAAATTGGACAAATTGTTAAAGATCCCTTTGTCCAGACCCTCGATCTCGTTTTCCCTTAGGTATAGTGATTCTAGCTCTACGTTTTTATCAAAAATTCCCGAAGGAAGCGATGCAAGTTTATTCTTTTCAAGACTCAAACTGGTAAGTGATGATAGATCATCAAAGGACGAAGGTTCAATGGTGGTTATATTGTTGGATCGTAATTCCAGATTTTTCAATCCGCTTAAACCTTTAAATATCCCAGGTGTGATTTTGTCGAATTCGTTTCCAGAAAGACCCAGTTTGGTAAGACTTGATAACCCAGAAAACATACCGTCGGAGATTGATGTCAACTGATTTCTGCTCAGTATAATTTTGTTAAGCTTCGAGAGGCCCGTGAAATCATCAAGTTTTCTAAGTTGATTATCTGAAAGATCAATGATCTCTATATCAAGAGTGCTTTTGAAGAGGTCTCTGGGTAAACTTTCAATTTTGTTATTGGAAAGGTACACTTCCTTCAGAGACTTTGCGTTAGTTAGTAAACCATCTGGTATATTTTTTATTTCATTAATCTCCAAATGCAGGTCTGTTAAAGAATATTGGTCGTTAAAAATTTGCGCTGGTAAGGTTTCCAACTGATTGTCCTCTAGATGGAGCACCTTTAACTTGTGTAACCCTTTGAAGGTATCTTCATCTAAGGCACTTAACGAGTTTTCGGAGAGATAAGCTGTTTCAAGCGAAACCAATTTTTCTAGCAGGTTTTTGGGAAGGTGCGTTAGTTTATTATCATAAACGTTCAGGTCAAGCAAATTCGGTAAATGATCAAATGCACCTTCTTCAATTTCTTCTAAACCATTACCACGTAAGTTAACTTCAACCAATGCGTGCATGTCGATAAACGATTCCTTGGGAAAATGTGGTACTTTTGTTGCGTATATCAGACACTTTTTTAGACTAAACATTTCCCTAAACGCTTTATTCTCGATGTTACCTAAGCTGCTATAACCAATTTCTAATTCTTCCACATTCTTTAGGTTTTTGAAGCTCCCGTTAGGTATATTTGTTACGTTACTAAAAAGAAACCTTACAGCCTTTAAATGCTTGTAACCTTCAAAAATATTGGGTTCAAGAAACCCAATCTCGCTGTTGTGGAACTCCAAACCAGTGAAATCCTCCATTACTATCTTATCCTCCTCAATGCACTGCTGGATACCCTTCTTTAATTGGTCCAATGAATTGATATCCTCACACGAGATACTCTTCCAAAAGCGATAGTTGCAGACATTCGACTGCATACTGACCAATCCAATGAGGAACAACAGTTTCATAAGCGACGTCATCATGAACTAATGTAATAGTCTCATTAGTCTAGAAAGCGACAGTAATGCACTTACTATTTAAGAATATCCACTACAACTCTTAAGCACAAAACAGAAAACCTGTCGATTAAATAGGGAAGGTTAAAAAATTTGCTTCCCGATGATAAGACAAACGTTACTAACTTTATCTGACATAATTTTGTTAATTGGTATCTGTTCATATCAAAAAGGTCGAGAAATGTAATACTTTGACCAAACTATTAACGAATTTGTATTGGAGATATCGCGAATGTTTCATAATAGTATTGTAAATAGATACAGTTTTCGGGGGATTAAGAATAATGGCAAACTTCAGATACCTAATTGGAAATGTTTCTTATTTTTTAATATTCGAATTGCTTAAAGTTTGAACGTCGGTCGGTCTGAATGTTCGAAATTGCGAAAAAGAATCGCAATCTCAAAACATTCAATCTTGAAATCCTATATCCAAAGACATAGTCTACGGTGTTTATTGTTTTGAAATTGCGTAAAGTTGAAACCTTAGACATGAAATATAATCATTATCAAATGCCATAATTCCAAAAAATTAGAATTTGCAAGTTTGGAGAAACTGAGCCTGTAAGTTCAAAAATAGTCACCCGTTTTTTTCCAAAATCCAAAATTCACAAAATCCGAGAATTTCAGAAACTCGAAAAAGTTTTAGAAACACGGTTCCAGTTTAATGACTTGAAAATCTTCCAAATTAAAAAAATAAGTTTGAGTTTTCAAAATGTTCCATTTACTGCTCATTCAAGATTGCACATCTTGCGCGGTTCGGGATGTTCTTAAGCTAGTCTTGAAAACGAGTAATCTGAAAGTGTACCCCTTGAGCATAACTTTTGGTGCTCCAAAAACGTCAAAATTTTTGGACTCTCTTTAGTTTTTCGTTTGTAATTCTTAAACAACGCATCCTAGCGAAAACCTTACCAAGAGACAAATTAAAGAGCATTAAATTCTGTGTAGATTGACCCCCTTAACTTTGCTACTGGACCAATTTGTAAGGTAGTAATAGAGGACTCAAGCACGACAATTTTTCCCATATTCGTTAAAATGTACCATCTGTCACTACTTTGGATATAGTAACTTTCCAAAAAAAAAGCACTAACAACAAAATGGTAAGTCAAGTTTAAATCCACCAATGATCAATATTTTTGGATTGCAAAAAAGTACTCTACAAATCTAGTGAGATTCGAACTGTTGCGTTTTCAACAGGCTTATCACAATAGAAATGAAGGAGCATTCTCAGATCGACAATTTCCAAATTGCATAAAAAATATAGATCTTCCTTAAAGAGGTTACACTCATAAAACGTAGCTAGTTGGTTGAAATTTTGATTTGGTGGTTTGTAATGAATTTTTCTAAAAAATCTCACGAAGTTTTAGGTATCATTTGCAAAACCTTTATTGTAAGTACAGGATTATATATCGTTTAAAATTGTTATCTCCCGTTCCGGATACTTCTTCTTAATCGCCTCCACAACAGAATCGGCCAGCTTGTTACCTTCCAAATGTAGTTGTTTTAGCTCCGGAAGATTGTTGAAGGCTTCTGGATTCAAGTCGGATATCTCGTTATGCTCAAGATTAAGATAATACATATTTATAAGGCCTTGAAACGTGTCAGCGTTAATGTGTTTTAAAGTGTTGTTAGATAAATCCAAACTCACGATGGACTTATAATCCTCAAAGGTGCCGGATTTGATGTCGTCAATATCGTTGCCGATCACGCTCAAAAATTCCAATTGAGGTCCGACTGGTATAGAGCCTTTTTCCAGCGTCTTCAGCTTGTTGAAATCTAGGATGAGGCTCGTAAGTGACGTTAGTGTTTTGAAAATATCGGATGGAAAGCTCTCGATTACATTGCGCGACAGGCTTAATTGGGTTAAGTTGGTGAGAATGGTAAATTCGTCACCTTTGAACTCGTGAAGATTATTTGAATCCAAGTGCAAGTACCGTAAGTGTGGAAAGAGGTCAAAGATATCGGAAGTAATTGAGGAAATGTTGTTTTCCCTCAAAACTAGAAAGTCGACCTTTGCTAGACCGGTGAACATATCCGCCTTGATTTCGGAGAGATGATTTTTGTGTAATGATAGAGTTTCCAATTCTGAAAGTCCCTCGAAGGCACCCGCCTCAACGTCCTTGATGTGGTTTTCTGTCAAATAGAGAGTTTTCAAACTGTTCAACCCAGCGAAATTTCCTTTCTTCAGTGCGTTTAGCTTGGAGTTCCTAATTGTGAAACTGGACAGGTTTTTCAAACTAGAAAAGCAGTTCGATGGGAAGCTTTCAAGATCAACGCCTTCTATGGTCAAAGAATCTAAGGACGATAGATCCTCAAAAGCATCACAGTGAATGCTCTTAATAGGATTATTTGAAATGGAAAAGTAAGTCAACGAGTTTAGTCCTTCAAACATCTTCGGGGAGAGAGTTTGCAGCTCATTGTTACTAATATACAGTGATTTAACTTGCTTCAAGTTTTTAAAAGTGCCACTTTCGAAATTCTTAATCCGGTTACTGTCCAAGTCTAAACGTTTCAAATTGGGCAAATTGGTGAAGATCCCCTTTTCCAGAGCTTCGATGTGATTTTCACTTAGGTATAGTGACTCTAGCTCTACGTTTTTGTCAAAAATTCCCGAAGGAAGCGATGCGAGTTTATTCTTCTCAAGACTCAAACTGGTAAGTGATGGTAGATCAGCAAATGACGATGGTTCAATTGTGGTCATATTGTTTAGTTGTAATTCCAAATTTTTCAATCCGCTTAAACCTTTAAATATCCCAGGTGTGATTTTGTCGATTTCGTTTCTAGAAAGACCCAGGTCGGAAAGATTTGGTAACCCAGAAAAGATACCGTCGGGTATAGATGTCAACTGATTATCCGAAAGATCAATGACCTCTATATCAGGAGTGTTTTTAAAGAGGTCTCTGGGTAAACTTTCAATTTTGTTCGTGGAAAAGTACACTTTCTTCAGAGACTTGGTGTTAGCTAGTAAACCTTCTGGTATATCTTTTATTTCATTATTCTCCAAATAGAGGTCTGTCAAAGAATTTTGGTCGTTAAAAATTTGCACTGGTAAGGTTTCCAACTTATTGCTCCCTAGATGGAGCACGTTTAACTTAGATAACCCTTTGAAGGTATCCTCATCTAACTCACTTAACGAGTTCTCGGAGAGATAAGCTGTTTCAAGTAAAACCAATTTTTTGAGCAAATTTTTGGGAAGATTGGTTAGGTTATTATTATAAAGGTACAGCTCGACCAAATTTGGTGAATTATCAAATGCACCTTCTTCAATTTCTTCTAAATCATTACCATGAAACTTAACTTCAACCAACGCGTGCATGTCGATAAACGATTCCTTGGGAAAGTGTGGTACTTTTGTTCCGAAGATCAGAAACTTTTTCACACTGAACATATCCCTAAACGCTTTATCTTCAATGTTATCGATTGTGCTATATCCAAATTCTAATTCTTCCAAATTCTTCATGTTTTTAAAACTTCCGTTAGGTATATTTGTTACGCTGCTAAAAAGAAACTTTATAACCTTTAAATGGTTGTAACCTTCAAAAGTGTTGGGCTCAAGAAATCCAATTTTGCTCTTTTCGAACTCCAAACCATCGAAATCCTCTATTACCACCTTATCCTCTTCAATGGACTGCTGGATACCCTTCTTTAATTGGTCCACTGAACTGATACCCTCACACGAGATACTCTTCCAAAAGCGATAGTTGCAGACATTCGATTGCACACTAGCCAATCCAATAAGGAACAACAGCTTGATAGGCGACGTCATCATAAACTAATGGAATAGTTTCATTAGTCTAGAAAGCGACAGTAATGCACTTACTATTTAAGAACATCCACTACAACTCTAAGCACAAAACAGAAGACCTCTCGATTAAATATTAAAGGTTAAAAATTTGCTTCCCGATGATAAGACAAACGTTACTAACTTTATCTGACATAATTTTGTTAATTGGTATCTGTTCATATCAAAAAGGTCGAGAAATGTAATACTTTGACCAAACTATTTATATAATTAACGAAATTGTATTGGAGATATCGCGAATGTTTCATAATAGTATTGTAGATAGATACAGTTTTCTGGAGATTAAGAATAATGGCAAACTTCAGATACCCAATTGGAAATGTTTCTTATTTTTTAATATTCGAATCGCTTAAAGTTTGAACGTCGGTCGGTTTGAATGTTCGAAATTGCGAAAAAGAATCGCAATTCCAAAACATTCAATCTCGAAATCCTATATCCAAAGACATAGTCTACGGTGTTTATTATTTTGAAATTGCGTAAAGTTGAAACCTTAGACATGAAATATAATCATTATCAAATGCCATAATTCCAAAAAATTAGAATTTGCAAGTTTGGAGAAGCTGAGCCTGTAAGTTCAAAAACCCGTTTTTTTTCCAAAATCCAAAATTCACAAAATCCGAGAATTTCAGAAACTCGAAAAAGTTTTAGAAACACAGTTCCATTTTAACAACTTGAAAATCTTCCAAATTAAAAAATTGAACTTGAGTTTTCAAAATGTTCCAATTACTGCTCATTCAAGATTGAGCATCTTGCACGTTCGGGATGTCCTTAAAGTAGTCCTGAAAACGAGTAATCTGAAATTGTACCCCTTGAGCATAACTTTTGGTGCTCCAAAAACGTCGAAATTTTTGGACTTTCTTTAGTTTTTCGTTTGTAATTCTTAAACAACGCATCCTAGCCTTACCAAGAGACAAATTAAAGAGCATTAAATTTTGTGCCGATTGACCCCTTAAGGTTTGCAACTGGACCAATTTGTAAAGTAGTAATCGACGGCTGAAGCACGACAATTTTTCCCATATTCGTTAAAATGTACCATCTGTCACTACTTTGGATATACTAACTTTTCCAAAAAAAAGCACTAACAACAAAATGACAAGTCAAGTTTAAATTCACCTATGATCAATATTTTTGGATTGCAAAAAAGTACTCTACAAATCTAGTGAGATTCGAACTGTTGCCTTTTGGACAGGCTTATCACAATGGAAATGAAGGATCTTCCTTAAATAGGTTACACTCATAAAACGTAGCAGTCGGTTGAAATTTTGATTTGGTGGTTTGTAATGAATTTTTCTAAAAAAATCTCACGAAGTTTTAGGTATCATTTGCAAAACCTTTATTGTAAGTACAGGATTATATATCGTTTAAAACTGTTATCTCCGGTTCCTGATACTTCTTCTTAATCGCCTCCACAACAGAATCGGCCAGCTTGTTACCTTCCAAACGTACTTGTTTTAGCTCCGGAAGATTGTTGAAAGCGTCTGGATTCAAGTCGGAGATCTCGTTGTGCTCAAGACTAAGATAATACATATTTATAAGGCCTTGAAACGTGTCAGCGTTAATGTGTTTTAAAGTGTTGTTAGATAAATCCAAACTCAGGATGGACTTACAATCCTCGAAGGTGCCGGATTTGATGTCGTCAATATCGTTGCCGATCACACTCAAAAATTCCAATTGAGGTCCGACTGGTATAGAGCCTTTTTCCAGTGTCTTGAGCTTGTTGAAATCTAGAGTGAGGCTCGTAAGTGACGTTAGTGTTTTGAAAATATCGGATGGAAAGCTCTCGATTACGTTGCGCGACAGGCTTAATTGGGTTAAGTTGGTGAGAATGGTAAATTCGTCACCTTTGAACTTGTGAAGATTATTTGAATCCAAGTACAAGTACCGTAAGTGTGGAAAGAGGTCAAAGATATCGGAAGTAATTGAGGAAATGTTGTTTTCGCTCAAAACTAGAAAGTCGACCTTTGCTAGACCGGTGAACATATCCGCCTTGATTTCGGAGAGATGATTTTTGTCTAATGATAGAGTTTCCAATTCTGAAAGTCCCTCGAAGGCACCCACCTCAACGTCCTTGATGTGGTTTTCTGTCAAATAGAGAGTTTTCAAACTGTCCATCCCAGCGAAATTTCCTTTCTTCAGTGCGTTTAGCTTGGAGTTCCTAATTGTGAAACTGGACAGGTTTTTGAAACTAGAAAAGCAGTTCGATGGGAAGCTTTCAAGATCAACGCCTTCTATGGTCAAAGAATCTAAGGACGATAGATCCTCAAAAGCATCACAGTGAATGCTCTTAATAGGATTATTTGAAATGGAAAAGTAAGTCAACGAGCTTAGTCCTTCAAACATCTTCGGGGAGATAGTGTGCAGCACATTGTTACTAATATACAGTGATTCAACTTGCTTCAAGTTTTTAAAAGTGCCACTTTCGAAATTCTTTATCCGGTTACTGTCCAAGTCTAAACGTTTCAAATTGGACAAATTGGTGAAGATCCCCTTTTCCAGACCTTCGATGTGATTTTCACTTAGGTATAGTGACTCTAGCTCTACGTTTTTGTCAAAAATTCCCGAAGGAAGCGATGCGAGTTTATTCTTCTCAAGACTCAAACTGGTAAGTGATGGTAGATCATCAAATGACGATGGTTCAATTGTGGTCATATTGTTTAGTTGTAATTCCAGATTTTTCAATCCGCTTAAACCTTTAAATATCCCAGGTGTGATTTTGTCGATTTCGTTTCCAGGAAGACTCAGGTCGGAAAGATTTCGTAACCCAGAAAAGATACCGTCGGGTATAGATGTCAACTGATTTCTGCTCAGTATAATTCTGTTAAGCTTCGAGAGGCCCGTGAATATATCGTCCAGTTTTCCAAGTTGATTATCCGAAAGATCAATGACCTCTATATCAGGAGTGTTTTTAAAGAGGTCTCTGGGTAAGCTTTGAATTTTGTTCATGGAAAGGTACACTTCCTTCAGAGACTTGGCGTTAGCTAGTAAACCTTCTGGTATATCTTTTATTTCATTATTCTCCAAATGCAGGTCTGTTAAAGAATATTGGTCGTTAAAAATTTGCGCTGGTAAGGTTTCCAACTTATTGTTCTCTAGATGGAGCACGTTTAACTTAGATAACCCTTTGAAGGTATCCTCATCTAACTCACTTAACGAGTTCTCGGAGAGATAAGCTGTTTCAAGCAAAACCAATTTTTTGAGCAAATTTTTGGGAAGATTTGTTATGTTATTATTATAAAGGTACAGCTCGACCAAATTTGGTGAATTATCAAATGCACCTTCTTCAATTTCTTCTAAATCATTACCATGAAAGTTAACTTCAACCAACGCGTGCATGTCGACAAACGATTCCTTGGAAAAGTGTGGTACTTTTGTTCCGTAAATCAGAAACTTTTTCACACTGAACATTTCTTTAAACGCTTTATCTTCAATGTTATCTATTGTGCTATATCCAATTTCTAATTCTTCCAAATTCTTCATGTTTTTAAAACTTCCGTTAGGTATATTTGTTACGCTGCTAAAAAGAAACTTTATAACCTTTAAATGGTTGTAACCTTCAAGAGTGTTGGGCTCAAGAAATCCAATTTTGCTCTTTTCGAACTCCAAACCATCGAAATCCTCTATTACCACCTTATCCTCTTCAATGGACTGCTGGATACCCTTCTTTAATTGGTCCAGTGAAATGATACCCTCACACGAGATACTCTTCCAAAAACGATAGTTGCAGACATTCGATTGCACACTAGCCAATCCAATAAGGAACAACAGCCTGATAGGCGACGTCATCATAAACTAATGAAATAGTTTCATTAGCCTAGAAAGCGACAGTAATGCACTTACCATTTTAGAACGATGTCCACTACAACTCTACGCAAAAAATAGAAGACCCATCGATTAAATAGGGAAGGTTAGGAAATCTGTTTACCGATGATAACGGAAACCTTACTAACCTTATCATACATAATTCCGTTAATTGGTGTCTGTTCAAATCAAAATGTTGAGAAATGCAATACTTTGACCAAACTATTAATGAATTTGTGCTGGGATATCGTTAATGTTTTTCGAAGATGTTTCTTAATAATATTGTAAACAGCTACCATTTCCTGGGGATTAAACTTCAGATACTTAATCATTTATTTCGTTTATCATCGGAAATGTTTGTTATTTTTTAACCTTCGAATTGCTTAATTTTCGAAACCGGTCATTCGGACTTTCGAAATTGGAAACGAATCGCGTCGCAAGTCCAATCACAGCGTATTCAATCTGCGAAATCCTAGACCCAAAGACGATAAACAGTCAGGGTCTGTAAATTTGAAATTGCGTAAATTTAACAAAGGAAATCATCATAATTCCAAAAAGTTAGACGAACTTGCATTCAATTACCCGTCTTATTCGAAATCTAGGAAAGTTGGCCTATGGGAGATTGCGTATTTGACAGCTGCAATCAATGGATTGGTTAAAAAATCTGAAGCCAATTTGATAATATTAATTCACATCTTCATAGGGAACACAAATTAGCTTTAAGTGTCATATTCTATGATCATAACTGAATGTAATTTTCGAATTCGAAATAATAATAATATAATAATCTAGGAATACAAAAGATCGGAGTTTTAAGAAAGCTCAAAAGTTTTGAGACACGATTCCATTCTAACAATTTAAAAATCTGCTCAATTCAAAAAATTTCTGAATGTTGCCCTTATGGGATCAATAAAATCATAATTTTCAGAGCTGAGCCAGAATTTTAAGTTTCACCAAACAAAGCCACTTAAATACAAGATAATACAAAAAACATTTATTGTATTTTTCAGCAACATTACATTCGCTATTGTTACTACTTTTTGTTCGCCGTAAACAAGAATTCTAAACTTTTTAAAATGTACAGTTACTGCTTACTCAATATTGAGCGCTTTGCATTCTGCTGGGTTTGTGATAAAATTAATTTCTCGCCGGAATTAATTGAGCTCGAAGATTTTAAAATTTAGGAATCTCAAAATGCTCAGTGAGTACTCTGCAGAAGTTTTTAAGGGTCTTTAAAAAGCCTCCGATGAATCTGTGAAAAGCCTCTGGTCAACCTCTGACCAATATGTGAAGAAAATCGTGAAAGGTTCTTATAATCTAAAACACCACTTCTCGCAACTAAAATCTTGTGATTCCCAGTGCGTGTTCAAACACTACAACTTAAAAAAGCGAAGATATAAGCAACAAGTTAAACAAGCTAAACGCACATACTATCAAAAGGTTATATCAGACTCACAGAATAAACCCAAAACCCTGTGGACAATGGTGAATCGTGAAACTGGGCGAAATCGTGAAAAAAGTAGAATTGCACTAAATCATGAAAATACACTAATAACTCACACNGATGAAAAATAAAATGTTGTATGCACCTCAGGCATTACTCAATATTTAACCCTCGGGCGACGTACAATCCATCGGGCCGGAGGCCCTCGGGCTCTGTCGCCCTCGGCATAAATATCGCCTTAATGCCCTTGATGCATAAATAACTATTATAATCTCAGAGAAGTTTATAAACTATCTATGAATAGTGTCTGAAGAACTTCTAAAGAGTCTAGCAATAACTCCTGGAGTAGTACCCCCAAAGAATTATTTCTTAATATTAAATTAAATTAAAAAAATCTCATAGGACCACTGAAGAATGCTACAAGAATAAATAAAGATCTTGTAAAAATAGGTATCTAAATTCCTTCTATCCAATATATGAAAGGCATTAAAAAAGGGTCGTTTAAGCTTAAAAAAAATACTGGGGAATTAGTTTTATTTCCAGCGATTTAACCTAGGTAGCTACCAATATGATGACTGATTAGAATGTATTTTAGTATTCTTTCAATTCAGCTTATACATTTCTGCCTTTTTGGGTATTTTTTAGATAACGCTCATTAGTTGTATACCACCATTGAATCCTATGATTACTTATTCAATGATACCACTAAAAGGCATTTTAAAGAACTTCCCAAGTATTTATTACACGTGCGGGGTCTTTAATTAATTAAGCTAACGAAGCTGGTCGATTTGACAAACGTTGAAATTGTAATTTGGCGGTTTCAGAAGAACTTTTCTAAAAAAAATCAAACCAAGTATCTATTCCGAAAAATTTATTGTAAATTAGGATTTATATATCGTTTAAAACCAGTTCAGGATACTTCCTCGTAATCGCTTCCACAACAGAATCGTCCAGCTTGTTACCAGCCAAACGTACCTGTCTCAGTTCGGGAAGATTGTCAAAGACGTTTGGATTCAAGTCGGAGATCTCGTTATGCTCGAGATTAAGCGAATACATATTTCTAAGACCTTGGAACATGTCGTAATTGATGTGTTTCAAGGTGTTGTTGGATAAATCCAAATTTAGGATCGACTCAAAATCGTCGAACGTGCCCGACTTGATGTCGTCAATATCGTTGCCGACCACGCTCAAAAATTCCAATTGATGTCCGACGGGTATAGACCCTTTTTCCAGCGTCTTCAGCTTGTTGTAATCTAGGGTGAGGGTCGTAAGTGACGTTAGCGTTTTGAAAATATCGGATGGAAAGCTCTCGATTGCGTTGCGCGACAGATCTAATTGGGTTAAGTTTTTGATCATGGTAAATTCGTCACCTTTGAACTTATGGAGATTATTTGAATTCAAGTACAAGTGGCGTAAGTGTGGAATGAGGGCAAAGATATCGGAGTCAATTGAGGAAATTTTGTTTTCGCTCAAGATTAGAAGGTCAACATTTGCTAGACCGGTGAACATATCCGCTTTGATTTCGGTGAGATGATTTTGGTTTAAGGATAGACTTTCCAATTTTGAAAGTCCCTCGAAGGCGCCCACCTCTATGTTCTTGATGTGGTTGTTTGTCAAATGGAGATTTTTTAAACTGTCCATTCCAGCGAAATTTCCTTTCTTCAGTACGTTTAGCTTGGAGTTTCTAATTGTGAAAGTTGACAGGTTTTTCATACTAGAAAAGCAGTTAGATGGGAAGCTTTCAAGATGAACGTCTTCAATTATCAAAGAATATAGGGATGACAGTTCCTGGAATGGTTCACAGTGAATGCTCTTAATAGGATTATTTGAAATGTAAAGGTCGGTCAACGAGGTTAATCCTTCAAACATCTTCGGGGAGATAGTGTGTAACTTATTGTTACTAATATACAGTGATTCAACTTGCTTCAAGTTTTTGAAAGTGGCACTTTCGAAATTCTTAATTCGGTTACTGTACAAGTCTAAACGTTTTAAATTGGCCAAATTGCTGAAGATCTCCTTTTCCAGACCTTCGATCTCATTTTCACTTAGGTATAGTGACATTAGTTCCAAGTTTTTGTGAAAAATTTCCGGAGGAAGCGATGCGAGTTTATTCTTCTCAAGACTCAAACTAGTAAGTGATGGTAGATCATCAAAGGACGAAGGTTCAATGATGGTCATGGTGTTGGATCGTAATTCCAGACTTTTCAAACCGTTTAAACCTTTAAATATCCCAGGTGTGATCTTATTGATTTCGTTTCCAGAAAGATCGAGTTCGAAAAGACTTGATAACCCAGAAAAGATACCGTCGGGGATGGATGTCAACTGATTGTGGCTTAGTATAATTTTTTTGAGCTTCGAAAGGCCCGTGAATATATTGTCCAGTGTTCTAAGTGGATTGTCGGATACTTCAATCACCTGTATATCAGGAGTGTTTTTGAAGAGATCTCTGGGTAAACCTTCAATTTCGTTTATGGAGAGGTACACTTCCTTTAGAGACTTTACGTTAGCTAATAGGTCTTCTGGTATATGTTTGATTTTATTATTCTTCAAATGCAGCTCTGTTAAAGAATCTTGGTCATTAAAAATGTGTGCTGGTAAGGTTTCCAACTGATTGTTCTCTAGATGGAGCACTTTTAACTTGGATAACCCTTTGAAGGTATCCTCATCTAACACACACAACGAGTTCTGAGAGAGATAAACCGATTCAAGCAAAACCAATTTGTTGAGCAAGTTATTGGGAAGATGCGTTAGTTTATTATCATAAACGTGCAGCTCGACCAAATTCGGTGAATTATCAAATGCGCCTTCTTCAATTCGTTCTAACTCATTGCCATGCAAGTTAAATTCAACCAACGCGTGCATGTCGATAAACAATTCCTTGGGAATGTGTGGTACTTTTGTTCCGTAGATCGAAACTTTTTTAAACTGAACAATTCCCTAAACGCTTTATCGTCAATGTCTACTGTGCTAAATGCAATTTCTAATTCTTGCAAATTCTTCAAGTTTTTGAAACATCCGTTAGCTATATTTGTTACGTTGCTAAAAAGAAACTTCATAACCTTTAAATGCTCGTAACCTTCAAAAATGTTGGGCTCATGAAATCCAATATCGCTCTTGTAGAACTCCAAATGATCGAAATCTTCCATTACCATCTTATACTCCTCAATCCACTGCTGAATGCCGTGCTTTAATTGGTCCAATGAGCTGATATGTTCACACGAGATAATCTTCCAAAAGCGATAGTTGCAGACATTCGATTGCACACTGGCCAATCCAATGAGGAACAACAGGGTTATAAGTGACGTCATCATAAACTAATGGACTAGTTCATTAACCTAAAAAGCCACAGTAATTTACTTACCATTTAGAACGATGTCCACTACAAGTCTTAACACAAAACAGCAGGACTGTCGATTAAATAGAGAAGGTTAGGAAATTTGTTTATCAATGATAACCCAACTAACCTATCGTTACTAATGTTATCATGCATAATTCCGACAATTGGTGTTTGCTCATATCAAAACATTGAACGATACTTCGACCAAACCAAACATTAATTTGTTTTCATTGAGGTTACTTAATAGTTCTGTAAACTGCTACCATTTCCTGGGGCTTAAGAGTAATGTGAAACTTTCAGAGACCTAATCATCTATTCTATTTATTATCGGAAATGTTTAAAGTATGAAAACCGGCCGTTTGGACTTAAGGGTTTCCAAAAGCCCCCAAGATCTCTCCCAGAATACCACAAGTTTTTATTTTATTAAGCTATTTACACATAAATTAAACTTTTAAAAGCAAAAACCATTCCGAAGGCTAGAAAGGTCCATCTTTGTGGGCCGGAAAGGGGATTTTGCAAATTGTTGATCGTGAAAAAAGAACAATGGTTACTGACTCTTTTGGACCAGGAAACATTACTGTTTCCTGGGAAAACAGACCGAACACGTTGGTAATAATAATTTTAAAGTGAAAATTGGTTTAAAAACTCTTTGTGCCGCTATCAAGTAACCACTTTACGCTTGGTTAATACAACAAACAATTACCTTAACTGCCTTAGTAAAGACATAAACGTGCGCCATTAAAGGAAATCAATATATCAAATTGCGAGGGTGATCCGATTACAGTATTTATTTTGATAGCACCATGTAATTAAAATGCCGCGTATTTTAAAGAAAAAAGGCCGTAATATCTCGATTATTAAGCTGCCGTTAACGTTTGAAGTTTGAAATAAGCGACTTAACAAAGTTACATTAAGCTCAAACGTATTTATTTGTGTTAATTTACATTAGCGGTCAATTATGGAAGGGGTTTATATTCCTCTTTTTCTTGTATTTCAAAATTATTTGAATTGACCATCAATCGTTTTTAAAACGGAGGGTGGAAATGAAATCAAATTACCTTTTCGTTCTTTGTACATGTTGTATATTGCTTTTGACATTTGTGCTGCTATAAATTCGGTTAATACAGAATGTGTAGCACGAATGGGTTCTTTACTAGTCGCTTTGGTAAAGGTTTCGAACGGAAACGAATGCTCACATTTTGCAATAATTAAAATGCATATTAAAATAGTAAATCTTTGCATTGTACCATATTATATAAAGACGATGGGTAAACGATGATCGCCGAATATGAACGAATAAAATGGGAAGAAGAGGTAGGGTGTGGATCAATACCCCAACAGGCCTACGTTGGTTATATGATACTTTTAATAGGATTAGCAAAATTACAGAGCATTCAAAGAGAAAACATTTAATTCGGAAAATACGAGTTTGCGGTACTAATAAGGAAGCAGCTTTATGGTATTGGAAGTCGAACAATCTTTAATAAATTTCCTTTTAATGAAGCTAGAATTTTACCATATACGACAATGAAAAATAAAAATATAGCCCCATTTTCATTTTTCACACGCCCTTTAAGTAAACCTAATATGAAAATGTTCATTAATGCAATAATTTGTTCCAATTAGAAACAATACACGCCGAATTCACTTGCAACAAAATAAATTAGGGTTGTACTCGCTGTTCCGTGTAATAATAACCAAGATAACGCCGCACGTGACAGAGAAAAATAATTAGAGAAATTACGTGCCGCATTCTGTAACTGACAATAGTAAATTTTCCTCTTAGTAACTATACGTTTTGATTAGGCTCGTAATTAATAAAGCAAATCTCATATATATTACAAAAAAAGGGAGGCGGTATACAATGTGTACCGTTATTTCTTCTGCGTTATTACAACCGCTTCTTTTTCATTTGGCTGATTTATGAATAGCAATCGTGTGTACAAAGGCAATATGACGGATATTTGTTTTACATAATTCATTCGCAATTTATGAATGTTATTTCATATTCTTAAAAGGCCTTTTTGGTTATTTTTCATTGCTGCGGCGTATCCGAAAAAAACAACGTCGAAAACGAATGACTTATTTGCATAAAGATGTCTAGCTTTACTTTCTATGCCAAATAAATTCACAACGAGGACACATCATGGAAACTCCTGTTCCAATGAAAATATTATTCAGTTAAAAGGATAAAGTGTAGAAGCATTCGTTATTGCATTATAATTGCATGATAACGAAGTGTCTAGTATGAAATAATGAAATTTGCCAGGTAGCAAATCACAAATCCCGTTATTGATATTTGCGCAGTATGCGTTCGTATAGTGCCATGTTTTTGTACTAGTGGAAACTGAAATAATTGGAAATTATTATAAATTCGTGTTACCATACAAACTGCAGTGTCAGTATTTACAGCATGTTATTCAACAAAAATTAAAACCAAACGGCAAATAGAAAGCTACACTAGAAACTCCAAAAAATTGTAAGAAAAATGTTATTCCCAATTGTTTAGGTATGTGTTGAAATTTTAAGGTTGTAGCTCTGTTATTAATTAATTAGGTAAGGGTAGTTTTCATCTGTCTCAGTAAAAATATAAAGGGGACTGAATTAAAAAATTGCAGTTTTTGCCATTTGTGCAAATTGCCTTGTTTGCGCAAGTAAATGGTTGCATGAAAACTAAAATCGTTTACTTAGAGGTGATGTACGTAATGAGGCTCATTGCATTACACTTCACTTCCCTTCCATGTTAATCCTGGAAATTAACTGTTTTTGAATTTTCTTGATTTTGTGAAAAAATCTATTAATTTAATTTAATTTATCAATATTTCATAAACCATTTAATCTCAACATGCATTTTTTCCGGGAGCGATATGTCCTGAGAGCGAATTGGCCGGGCGCGTATTCTCCTACAACCATCGGCTTCTATAATAATAACTTACTCTTATGGCTACTGAGAAAAAAATTAAAGAAAAAATGCAAATTTCACCACATTTTTGAGGGTGGCTCCCACACGAAACACGTTTGGAAAACTCTACCACCCAATTTTTTTATATACTTATATGTCACCCCTGTAGATACAAATTTATTAATATTTAGGTCGTTATTGAAACTATTTTTGGATAGTCAAGTTATATGGATGGTGTTTGATTGGTACTATTTGCTTGTGAGAAGTTCCCTTAGGAATCCAAAGTTGGAAGTCTAAAAATGAAAAAAAAACTCTAATTAAAGGGCAAAGAAGAAGAAGAAGAAAAACAACGTGATTATGCGCAATTAGCTATTACATAAAATAACTAGGCACTTTTCTTGCACGGTATTCCACGTTTACGTGTAATTTTGTTAGCTTTTTAGCAATGTTTAAATATTAAATTTATTTGTGTTGTTTTATGGTACAATAGCAGTTGTTTCTTCGTGGTTTTGTTCAAAGGTAATTAATAATTGAAAATGTTTCAATAGTAACTGTGCATAAAAGTTCATTTTTACATAGAGATGTAATTACAAACTGCTTTTATGTGTTTTATGTCTGAAAGGAAAATGGGCTTTTCCATTTAAACATTAAGTTTTTAATTATGAAATTTGCTGGTCATGCTGTATAATTTTTTTGATCATTTGCTATATATTAGATATAGTTTAGTTTAGACATTAGTTCAGCATACATTATCGTCATTATCGAAAACTACTTATTTCTATACCGCATGCAACACAGGTTGATATAACTACCAATTTTAAATATCGCGAAGGGGTAAGACGGTGTACTGTCACAAAAATACCAGTCAATAGCAAAAGAAACCCAGATATTTCTATATAATACCATTACAACCGAAAAATTGAAACAATGCCAGAGAATTCCCCTACGAAATATCGCTATTGCTTAATTAATTAAATTATTTAAAAAAGATTGGCCTATAAACATGGGTTCTGCATATGTAATGCGATGGAGGGCCTGGATCGGACAGCCGGATTAGAAAATATATCGACGGGAAGAAGAAAAAAATATCTAATGTGAAGAGAAGATAAGTTGTGACAGTTTTAGTTCAAGAAATTTTCAAAAAATGTTGATTTTTTTAAATGGATGTTTTGAGGAAATTTTAAAAAAATGTTTCAAAAACGGTAATGTAATTAGTTAATGACCGTGTAGCAAATTTGAAGTCTGAACAACTTTTCTTAATAACATTTGTGCGGATTTCGTCCCCAAAGAGCACTTTACTGGTAAGCAAAAAAAGCGTTTTTTAAACAATTTTAAGAAACTAAAATTATGCCACAAATTCGTTTTCCAACCAAGTAGGGGTGATCCCCAGAAGCTCAAAATTCAATTCGAACATTCTTTGTACTTTATAAGAGACGACCAAACAATCGGGGGACACAATGTATATCCGCCTAAGAACTGTATTCAGATGCCGTTTTCTTGCGACCAATATCTTTAAGTCCCTTTACTGTGACACGTGTTTTTGGGGACAATATTCCAGTTACTTTCTTGGGGGAGAATTTTCTGTGAGAGATTTTTTAATTGCTGCTATACTGCAATATAGTCCTAGCCCAACAAGTGAAGAAAACGCAAATTTTATATTGGACCAAGACAAACATTTTTA